CAGTTCGTCGAGCGTCTCAAGCGGGTGGGTGGGGGGGAAACATTCCGACTGTGCCCCGGAGTGTGGATCCTCCCCCACTTGCGAAAGCAGCCAGTCCTCGTCCGGGGGGTGCGAGCCATTGCCAGGCAAGCTCCACTCAAAGTTCGTGACACTACATCTACATCGACCTACTAAACGGGGGCAGTGCAAGAACCTCGACTCGGACCCTTTTGCAGACTGTGAGCTTTTCCTCCACAGCCTCGCTGCCCTTAGAGTGATCCCTGAAACGCACCTCCCAGAGTACTTGCTCACTGGGCGGGGGACGGCGAGATCTACCTGACTGAGTTATTGGCAAGAAGGGTGACTTCGTGAACTTCGGGGTATGGCCACGAAGGAGCATAACGATATCTGCCGTATCTGCTTTGACGGTGGGGGGCATGTCAACCTGGCTTCCGCAAGAAACCAAGGAGATGAGGAAGACCCCTACAGGGGAATGACCCACAGCGGGGGAAAAAGTGCCGAGATGGAGATGGATACCGAGTGAGAGGGCCATGTAAAGAGTTGCACTTGCTTCGTGACAGTTCGTTAGTGTTCTACTTTACCTCGGGGTGTGAACTCTTTAAACAGGGCCGGGGGGACAACTCTCGATCCTTCTCGGGCAAACTCATTCAACCAGAGGCCCAACCTGGCCTGCAATCCTGGTTCTTTTCAACACACCGTCTTGATGCAGCTGTTGATACATGAACTCGGGGGAAATAGAAGGCTTTACTTCAACTTTCAATCCGTCCTTTAGAACTCTAGTAGTACCTGCTTACAAACAGCGGGGTAACGACGCAAGCGTTTACTTCTACCTCAGCGCTACCCTCGTACAGCCGAGCTGGGCTTTTGTTGCTTCTCCAGAGACCCTCACGAGCTGTGCCTTCCGGGGGATGCTGTGCTTTTTTAGGTTGGTTGGTTGAGGGCTTCGGGTGTCTTGTTTTCGGGAGAACGTTCCGGTGGAAGGCACCGTGTAGTAGCAGTGACGGCTGGTGCAGGGGGCTGTTGTGCGACCTGTCGTCCTACCGGCCCTGTGCAGCCGAGCCGAGGGGAGGAAACCTTCCTGAGGGCCTTTCAAAACCTGTGACTTACAGGTGCGCGTTCGCATGCGAGGGAGTGGGGGGGACGTCCCTGCTTCCTTTGGCCTGCTAGAGAGAGAGAGAGAGAGA